TTCAGTGAAATTTACTTTTATCAAACGGAGCTCAAGACACTTGACCCTCGTTATTATATTTCAGCACCACTCCAAGTAACAATATCTCCTCAACTCAAATATCAGACATCATTTCGTTGTTACAGTTAGAATTGTGGGCCTCTCCTTTTAATGATCTAACCTAAAGCTTACCTTAACTTTTAAATTACCATTGACTATTTATCTAAGATATACAGGGTCCCCCAAAATCATAGGAACGACAGTTTTAAGCATTGTAGATAGTTCAAAGAATTAATTTAAATTAACAATGAAATTGGCCGCATCGCTTCGTGACAGGTTATTAGGGATAGAAAGAAGCTCAGATAAATTAACTAATAATTCCTTTGATTAAATTCTTCTCCCAGGAGTATTTACTTATTCATGTTCAGGAAGGCTATGTTTAATTAATTATTCTTTGGTATCAGGTATTACCGACATTTCCACCAGTTACTAATAGTTCAGAAATAAATAAAGCTATAGAATAACATGATTTAAATTAAAAATATGACATTGTTGTGTCATCTAAACGGACTTCTTTGTGAATTTCAAATATGAAACTGTTGAATTTTTGATCGCTTAAAAGGTTCAAACACAGAGCAAACATTTTACTTGGAAAGTAAATGCTATGTTGGCAGATGCATTCCTAACATATGCAAAGGGAGATAGTCTCTTTTTCCTCAGCGAATGTTATTCCTATTGTAAACGAAATGCTGGAAAATATATCCAAGAGACTTAATGATACAAAAATTAAAATTAATTTCATTCGAATCGTTATTCTATACACATTATCTATATCAATTGTTTTGCATGATCAAATTAATTTTGAACCGAGGGTAATTTAAAAACAAATTTTCAGAGTCATTAGATATAAGTAAATAATTAAATATAATTGAATAAACTGGAATCCTCATCCAGCTTATGATAAATGCAGTACAGAAAAAAAACAGAGAGATTAAAATTTTTTTATATTATATTTTTAATCTGGTTGCACTATATCATCTTTAAGGGAAACACATCTCTTTTCGGAGCTAAGAGCGGCTATGTGACTTAATGGAACGTTCTCGGAATTTTCTAGAAATGAAACTCAACGCTCTTGGAATTCTTGAACTACTACTTTGCCGCTGTACTAATGTTGCGTAAAAATACGTTACATGTTGGGTCTAGAAAATATTTTGACATCATACGTATTTTCTGTCATGTATGTAAACCTGCAAAATTACTTATATAAATTTTGAAGTTATTGAAACTAATTGTATACACTAACATATTAAAACTGACATAAATACCGTTCAGGTTGTGTGATGTATACATAAAATGTGATCACTATTTTTATAGAATATTAAACGCATAAATGTAAAATAAGGATTTGCCGATTAGGAGAGATAATGGTACAGATGTAAAATTACGTAGAACAATTAGCATGGCTCCTTAATTTCTTTGCCGGATTTAGAAGTAGAAATCCTTGTTACATCTCTTCCATCTCCACTATGCCTTTTTCTTATACTAGGGCTTGCATATAAGGTAGACTAAATTTTTGCTATATAAATTATTTATTTTATTTATTTTTATATTTGTTGAATTTTGATAATTTTTAAAGGATCGTGTTCATGCGCGATAATATTAAGGTCATGCGCTTAAATTCTTTTTATTTTATAGCTTATTAAGTAGTTATATTTTTCTCTGTATTTTAATTAGTCGTTATTGTCATGTTTATATTAACGTTGTCAGTCTCATGAGCTTAATTTGTTATAAGTTTAATTTCTTTTTTATTCAAGTCTATAAAACTGATACATTTAAGTAAAATTTTGCTATTATATTTACGTATGTTAGGGTGTAATGTCAGTATTTCTCACATTATTTCACTTGTTAACTGGGTTTATTTTGATAACCTTAACCAGGCAAGTAAAGTTTTCGCAATTGACCGTTGAATTTCAAGACCACTTTTTCAATATTGAAAATTTCTAGTTTTATTCATCACTAATGTGTAGCAATGTTTTCTGTAAACTTTTATTGGCAAGCATTTAAGGATATAACAAAATATACAAACAATGTTTACAATGGGATTAACCGCAGATGATATGATAACTGCACGACTTGGCAACGTTGCAGTTGTTATCAGCTGTTTATCTGTCAAGGGCACAGCTGATCGTAGGTTGAAGTTGATGGATGCACTCAGTAGAGAATGACTCAGGTTTGAATGCTTATCAACTTTCAATGAATGTGATTTATGGTTTCACTTGAACTCAGTTGTTTGTTGAAGTGAATTTCAAATTAATGAATTTCTGTTATAACTGCAATAAAACTGATGTATGAATTCTTTTATAACTAATTCGATATTCATTTACGCTTTTTTACTGGTTATTTAAGGCGTTTGATAGCCTTAAATAACCAGCCTATGGTGTCAATATGTATTAATTAAAACTAATAATTTGGATTTTAAATCATTTTCCCGGTTAATATTTACTTGTTGATTTAATGTTTCTAAACAAATATCGGCAGGAAGTAATGTGTAATTATATCTGAGAAATTCAGAAATAAGAAACTATAATATAAAAGCTGCTTTAGAAAATTAATATTCAAAATGTACATATGAAAATTTATCATCCCCAGAGTATGATTAATATCCCAAATATGTTAAATCTTCAAGAAAAGAAGTCACATAAAAAATATTTTGGTGCTACATAAATAGCAATATGCAATGTGCATATTCCAAAGTATATATTTACAATTAATAGCACTTCGTGAACAAAAGGATTAAATTGTTCGTTTAACACATGATTAGCTAAATGAGCTGCAACTGTTCAGAATTAACTATGATTCCATAGACTGTGTATTTCTGTATACAATACATATTTGTGTATCAACTTACTTCGACTTTACCCCACTTTAAAGCAGAAGTTGTGTACAAAACTATCAAATTCAAAAGTGGTTTACCGACGAATAGCTCATCAAAAGAACACCTCTCTGCTTAAAACAGTGAATGATGAAACCGAGTTTTGGATTTCCCGCAAATAAATCTATAACCACGGATATTCCTGCAGAATTAATAGTAGCAATAATGATAAACAAAATTACATGATAACCTGGATAGTATTATATTAATTAGCTCCGTTCCCATTTTCCAATAATTGGTTTTCAATTACACATGTTTAATGAACACAAAGTATCAACATGAGAATTAATTTGTTTTATGACGTAAAATTAATAATAACAATAAAATAGCTATTGCACATTTATTGATGTAGATTTAATTAATAATCATACACACATACTGTTTCTTTTATTATTTATTGTCAAAGGTGTATTTACTATAACATTTTAATCGCCCAAAAGGAGTGAATTTGAAATGCTCTATTTTAAAAATATTTGGAAAAATATTTTTGTTTTTGTTCTAAATGCATCAAGAAAGAATTTGAAATACTCTTAAGTCTTTCTGAGTAAAGGTTTTGGACCAATGTCTGAATTTGTGCAAGCAAAATTAATATTCTTATGCAATAATAATGTCTAGACTGCTTACTAATCTACTGTTAATTTAAAGAATTTCAATTAACTTTTAGAATTTAATGTTAATATCAAAATGTATTCGAAGGTATGCAATGTTAAAACGAATATATTATCAAGAAAATCCTATGCAGTCTGTTTCCACTCTGAAAATACATTATTTGTCCCTCATGGATTTGGCCATATCAATCCAACCGTTATTAACGGCCTGCACTGGGCACTGGATTTATTTGGTTTGTTTCATATAAATATTTATTCCCCTTAAGCACATGATTCATTGACACACAGTATTTAAATTTATCCCGATTTGTTCGTCCATACACTTTACACTCCCGATTAGTTTCTTCATTAATAAAAAAAAAATAATAAATCCACTTACTTTTTATTATTTCTTTATAGCGTTAACAAAACAGGTAAAAATCTTAAAATGCAAAATTTCACTATGTGATGGTAAAATTAATTTTCTCTTAATTGTTTTCAAAAAATCGTGCTTTTTTACTTAGACTATTTATTATGTTGCTACAAATAGTAATGTTGTTAGGTAGTGTCACTTTCTTTACATATTGAGTTTGTTCGTGATATTCTGTGAAAGGACAATTATTTCAGAATTGGACGCTAAACCAACCTGCAAACGATCACTCGACTATTCTTGTGTATGAGATACACTATTATTGTGTATTGTGTTTCATATACAGTACATAATATGAATTTATAACAGAATCACATCCATTTATCTATCTTCTTTGTTATGGTGGTTAACAAATTTTGAAATATGGTACCTATGTAAGCTACTTCAGTTTAGTATGTGGCTTTCTTTTACTTCGAAAGTCTACTTCATTGGTTTGTAGGAGAAATATGTAAAACAAATTATGAAAAACTAAACCTTACAAGTGAAAGTCTTAAATGATCTTGATAAGCTATAAAGTAGGTTTTGATTGTACTTTTAAAAATGTTCATTATGTTAACACTATTTAACAGCTAAAAGATTAACTTAGAGCTTAACCTTTTGTAACATTTTGAGCAAAACCACGACAGCACAAAGGTTCTAAATGATTCCCAGCAGAACATTTCCTATTGTATGTTTCATCAAAAAGCAATTTTCAACTGAACCTCTCGCAGCAAATAGAGACCTAATCATTGTAACGATGAAGAAAAATGGGGCTTCTGGAGAGATATTGATTTCCACGTTGTCTCCAAAGAGACTAACGCACTTGAAATGAATTATTGTTTGTGACAAAGCAGTTTTTTGTCCTAGGACGCTAGGCACGAGCCCGAAATTGTTTTTCACATTACGTCAGGCTAGACCTAGGAGTTGCGGCATATCACTTTGATGAAATTCATTGGCGATTGGGCGGGATTTGAACCCGGGACCCCAGGAACCGAACTCCCACGCTCTAACCACTATACCAGCTCACCCCCCAGTGTGATACAGCAGTAACAAAAATTACTAATTACGTAATCGAATTAATTTACACACTTACCGAACAACACTGATTAGTCAACCTAGAAAACAACAAATAATTATTAAATTGTATAACAACTAACCATAAAAATACAATGATTAGAGCTAATATACATCAAACTTTAAAACTCATTGACATAAGTATGCCACTGAAGTGTTTTCAATATAAAAATGCGATTAGGTCAAGATAAGCAAGTGATAAAGATATTAAATTCACCATACCCATTTGTAACAAAGTAAAACTAAATTTAATGTTCAATAAATGCAAAAATAATCTAATAGGTACAAGTTTTTTTGAGAAAATAATAGGTCTTTCGTAGCCAAAAGTAAATAATTTACTATTTCGTGTTCATTTTGTAAGTGGATAAAGGGCAGCACGGTAGTGCTACTAGTTCATTTAATTCTTCTTAAACGTTCAGATAGTGCTTACAAATTACAGTACTTTTTTTAGGACAAACATATTTCTTAATATATAATCACTAGTTTATATGTTAAGGTTCTCTTACACTATCCATATTACTGTCAGTAAAAGTTACTCAATAATAATGAGACAAAAAGATAATATTGATGTATTAATTACTTGTATCGAAGAATACCTCAATGTCTTGAAATCTACCATCAAAACTGTTAATATTGGCCTTTCAATATTTTTGACAGTAATATTGATAGTGAAAGGGTCCCTTACCCTTAAGTGAACAATTTACAAATATATTTTTAATACACTGTAACTACCTAACTACTAATACTATCAGTTAAATTTAAATTTTTTAAATTAAAATTGAGTTAGTAGCTACATTACAATTAATTCTAAACAGTGCATAGCCTATTTATTGTAAACATTTAATGTTTGAAACTTATTCTTACTCAGATTCTTCTCAAAAAACGAGTAGTCCTGATCTTTTTCACGGCGTAATGAACAATAAAAAAATACCTATACTTTAACTACTAACAGTTAAATTTCAATTTTTTTAATTAAAATTGAGTTAGTAGTTACATTACAATTAATTCTAAACAATACATAGCCTATTTATTGTAAACATTCAATGTTTAAAACTTATTCTTACTCAGATTCTTAAAAACGAGTAGCCCTGATTTTTTTCACGGCGTAATGAACAATAAAAAATAATACCTGTGTAGTGGCACGACTTCAAACTATGACGTAATGTTTCAGGACACTACATAACAGCTGATAAGCTGTCGTGTGCCGCAACTTGTATCCCGAGTCCTGTGTTAGAAAGCGTCCTTGACTACTTCTAAGCCTATGACCTTCCATCTCTACACAAGGGGTCAGCGTCTCTGCTACTGACTATGAGCTGCTATGAGGCATAATATTTGTGCTATGAGGCAACTATGATGACCAATTATATCGATAATTTTCAGCCCGCAATACCTCGGTTGGAGCGGTAACGTCTTCTACAGATAAGCAAGTTACATTGTTGGTTTGGTAATTGGTTTAAGACCTTACCGCAAGCAATATCTATTTCATTACTGCAATCAACCCTGACTTGCCTATACACTTCAAAACTGTCTTGTACCGTAACAAAACTTTACATTAGGTCTATGCAGGTTGGCAGTTGAGATTTTATTTTTAGAAAATTACTACTGAGTGCGTATTCATCGCGGTCTCGGTTTCCTTAGAATTATTTATTTAATTTGTTTCAGAAATGTTCGAAGGAAGCTTTTATTGTTTAGCTTACTTATTTAGCTTTTGACAGAAGGAATAAAAAGGGGGCATGTATTATTTATGACATATTTGTACGAGATTGTTTTTTCTTAAACCTTGTCTATTTATAAATTAGTAATTAATGAGATATCGAATACATTACTGATCCATTGCTGATCCGTTGGCTTTCAAATGGAATAAAGAGGTTATTCCCCTCTTTATGTCTACGCTTTGACCTACACTAAACCAGTAAAACAAAATAATTATTTTTGAAATGATCAAATATTTATTATTATTCATTGACGTATACATTACTATAAACATGAACATTTTGTTTGCTCCATGATTTAAATTATTCTAACTATATTAGAGTGGGGGAAATATTATTGAAAAATAAGCGAATAATATATCTCTATCTATAGTTCTATCTACGTCTATCAATAGTAATAAATATTGTATCTGTAGTTCTAAAACGTATTATATGTACGATAGACGTAAATAGCTATTTTTAAAAACTCTTTTGAAGGTTTATGTTATGATAATCTTTGTAACATTTGCCAAATAACTCGGACACAAAAACTTATCCACGCGTATTAAATTCGTTTTAGTTAAAAACTACTCAATGATACTATGACATTAATTATGACTCCTCTGGTCAAGAAAATACGAATGCGGGAGCGACTATTGTAATACTTTCGTTCTGTACATAGAATATTGTATGCTCAGTGAAATTGAGTTGGCTGGTAAATGTTTGGTCAAAAGTCACAAGCAATGGTCCTAAGTCAACCTTTGAGCATATCAAACTGTGCATATAAAACCTGCAAGCGTGACAACACTGTTGCCAAAATAAATTAAACGAAGGACTATTTAGCAGAAGGCGCGTTTTATCGTCTAAATCAGTGTTTAATTTAGTCTACCTTCATTTACACAACATTTTACGGACGTGTAATCTAAACAGCTCTAAAATCAATGTAAAGTGATAAAGCAAAGTGGTAATTACATTAACCACGAGTACCTCTCGTTATCAGTACTTAACTTAAACCAAGTAGTGGTGAACCCAGAAAGATAAGTCACTTTAGGCGTTTTTTCCCATAAGAATAACATGGGGATCATTTTTTGGCCACCAAAACCAAAAATCCTGATCTTTGCTCACATATCCCTATAAAATTGTCAAACCTTATTTCTTACTTATTTCCCATAAATATATTTGATATTAAGCTAAAAAAGCTAATTCTTATATTTATTGACCCTTACAAGTGTAAATGTAGAGTAGTGGCGAACCCAGAAAGAGCCATCACTTTAGGCACGTTTTCCCCATAAGAATAACATGGTGAGCTTTTTTTGACCACTTTTTTAAAAATCCAGCTCTCGGCCTATACAAGCCTATATAAATGTTCAATACCATTGTATAACACTATTAAAATTTCAAATCCACATCCATTCTCATGTATATTCTCAAAATCATCAACTTGACAGTGCGAGGTTTGTACGCAAACTCGGGCATGATCCCCCATATAAAATGCATGCTACCCATATAAAATAATGTTAAATTTTTTTCTTACTTTTTGATTTTTTTATGTTGTAATATTGTTTATAATCAAAAGTTGACACCCACTACGTTTGCCAGAATTTCAACCGTTTTGCCGTATCTCAAGCCGTTTTCGAGATATAAGCGTTTTTAGACAGTTTTACGGACTTAGACGATTTTTCATGGTAAATTTTATTTGTACCCATATAAAATAATGTTAAATTTTTTTCTTACTTTTTGATTTTTTTATGTTGTAATATTGTTTATAATCAAAAGTTGACACCCACTACGTTTGCCAGAATTTCAACCGTTTTGCCGTATCTCAAGCCGTTTTCGAGATATAAGCGTTTTTAGATAGTTTTTACGGACTTAGACGATTTTTCATGGTAAATTTTATTTGTACCCATATAAAATAATGTTAAATTTTTTTCTTACTTTTTGATTTTTTTATGTTGTAATATTGTTTATAATCAAAAGTTGACACCCACTACGTTTGCCAGAATTTCAACCGTTTTGCCGTATCTCAAGCCGTTTTCGAGATATAAGCGTTTTTAGATAGTTTTTACGGACTTAGACGATTTTTCATGGTAAATTTTATTTGTACCCATATAAAATAATGTTAAATTTTTTTCTTACTTTTTGATTTTTTTATGTTGTAATATTGTTTATAATCAAAAGTTGACACCCACTACGTTTGCCAGAATTTCAACCGTTTTGCCGTATCTCAAGCCGTTTTCGAGATATAAGCGTTTTTAGATAGTTTTAGACGATTTTTCATGTTAAATTTTATTTGTACCCATATGAAATAGTGTTAAATTTTTTTCTTTCTTTTTGATTTTTTTATGTTGTAATATTGTTTATAATCAAAAGTTGACACCCACTACGTTTGCCAGAATTTCAACCGTTTTGCTGTATCTCAAGCCGTTTTCGAGATATAAGCGTTTTTAGATAGTTTTACGGACTTAGACGATATTTCATAGTAACTTTTATTAGTACCCATATAAAATAATGTTAAAATATTTTTGGAAATTTAGATTTTTTTATGTTGTAATATTGTTTATAATCAAAAGTTGACACCCACTACGTTTGCCAGAATTTCAACCGTTTTGCCGTATCTCAAGCCGTTTTCAAGATACAAGCATTTTAAAACTATATTATGGACTTAAACAATTTTAGGTGTGCAAAAATGTTAAAAACACAATGAATAAGAAAGTACTATCTTCTGATGATAACAAGAGGCTTATTCTGGAAGATGACATTAATACTCTTGCTCTTAGTCATTATAAAATTGATCAAACATAAATCTATATTTGCCATTATTATTTAGCCTTTCCATTTCTATTATGAAAAAAACCATATTTAGTTTTATTCCAACTTTAGAGGAAGAGATCACTAAATTGGTTAAATGAAACGTCATTACCAACATGATTGTTATACAAATGTTTTAAAACTTAAATCGTCTTGTCTGGATAATATTAGGAAATTTACACTATCACGTAAATGTTTGTGTACTTTGCTGCAAGATTAACACAAGTAAAAACAGTCAATATTTTTATGTCGACCTTTTGAAAAAATGTTGTAATATTTGGACTATTCATGTCATCAAATACAACAACTGACTGTGACTGTGATGTGAATTTTTGTGTGTACTTGTTTACTTCATCACACAAATTTCACACTATTTTCACAAATGTCACATGAATTGTGAATTTCACTGTTACTGTGACTGTGATGTGAATTTACCTGTATTTCGTCACACACATTTCACACAATTTTTATAAATTTCACACACATTTCACACAATTTTTATAAATTTCACACAAATTTCACACAATTTGACACACATTATA